TTGGGGGTGCGATCATACCAGCACTAATGTACTGGATCCCATCAGAACTCTGCAATCAAGCGTGCTTGGACGATAGTAGTAATAGGAGAAGTCCTCGTGTTGGAATTTTTTTGAAGAATATAAGAATAAAAAGGAAAAAAAATATCATGACTCTTGGATTAGTTGTGTGNGCACTTCTTTTAAGAATATAAGAATAAAAAGGAAAAAAAATATCATGACTCTTGGATTAGTTGTGTGGTTGTTATTATAAAAAGGATTGGATGTACATACTTGGATTATTGAATAACTAGTCATAACCTCTGCTTGAAGGGACAATACAATGTAAAATTCGAGCGTCTAAAATAGTCGATCCCACTATATGAAATAATAAATTTTCTTTCCATCCCTTTCTTTAATTACATAATTTGAAATTAATTTCTATCCATTATTTTTTTAAACAAATGACAATATTCTTAAAGCACATGACTTCAAAAAAATATCAACCTATATATAATATCGTATATAAATAATGTCTGAAATAAAAATTATATAGAGTCACAAATTAATCAAAAATGAAATGATTTTACTTGTGATAGAAATGGGTGGGAAAAATATACGAGGATAAGATTCAAACTTCTAGCTTCCTTATTATATAGATTCAAATCTATTTCCTTCCCAATTTCTTTCCTTTCTTTTCATTTATGTTTCTTCTTTTCTCATCTGCACTTCTCCTGATCTACATCTTATGGCCTTTTGGCCGTACACGTTTTATTTAGCTATAGGTCTCTGTTACATGTACTTTGTGAAATCAATTGTAGATCGACAATTTGTGAAAAGATGTTCTTAGAGCAAAACTCTTAATTTGTTATTCAAGACATGGTAAAATTGCATGCATGGTTTTATCTATTTTCCTCGTATTGTAGCTTAGGTTGCCTAGGAGGGGGTAAGGCTCATATTGCACTCTCTTACCATCGAGGTTAACAAAATTGGGATTCTTGACTAGGGCCTATAGAACACACAAAGTGCTCTTCCTTAAGCCACAGATGGTCCGGTGCGGAGAGTCATTTCTAAATTGTCTACCAAGCAATTATCAATTTTTTAAAAATTGCTTTCTAGACTACACTGAGTGAGGTAGTTGAACATAACGAAGCGTAGGATGCAACATTCATCATGTGTGATAGTTAAGTTGTAAAGCCTTTAGGATTTTGAGAGAGAAAAATGGGAAAAAGAGAAAACTGTCAAAATAGTGTAGTGTCAGGTTGCACAATTAAACCCAACATATATAGTCACAAAGTACAAAGTACTAAACTACCCTTAATCTAGAAATAGTGCATAACATAACACTCCCTCTCTAGTTGGTGTATAGATATCTCTGGGGCCCAATTTGCAAACAATAGGGTAAAAAACCTTGCTACTGAGCCCCTTGGTGAAGACGTCGACTAATTGGTATTCTAATTTCACAAAAGGCATGCAAATCAAATCCTTATTTAATTTCTCTTTAATAAAGTGTTAGATCAATTTCAACATGTTTAGTTCTATTGTGTTAAATTAGATTGTTAGCATTGTTGTTAGGAGCCTTGATGTCAATTTATAGTCTCATAGGTCTATCATCATAAATTCCCAACTCTCCGTATAATGTTTGGAGCCACATAAGCCCATAAACTTAATGGGTCATTGCTCTGTATTCAACCTCCACATTAGACCTAGCCACCATTTCTTGCTTCGCCATGTAACTAAATTACCTTCAATCAAGGTACAATTGACTGAAGTTGATCTTCTATCATCCACTGATCTTACCCAGCTACCATCACTAAATGCANTTCAATCAAGGTACAATTGCCTGAAGTTGATCTTCTATCATCCACTGATCTTACCCAGCTACCATCACTAAATGCATCTAGCTTCAAGTGACTATTATTGGAGAATAAAATCCTTTCTCCTTAAGTTAACTTAAGATAACTCAAAATGTGATAAATAGCTTCAAGATTGGAATTCGATGATCATGCATGAATTGACTGACCACACTCACTGCATAAGCAATATATGGTCGGATATGTGAGAAATATATTAATATGCCCATTAGACTTTGGTTTCTCTTATTTTCTACTACTTCACAAATACTACCACTTAGTCGATGGTTGACTTTAATATGAGAATATGTAAGTCTACATCTCAATGTCCTAATCTCTTCAAGAAGGTCAAGGCTATACTTTCTTTGGGATGCAAACAACAAAAAACAAATTCTTCATGACTGAATTGTGGCATTATCATAATCTATCAATGCTTGACAATCATGCCTGGATAAGATTGCGGTCACTACAAGTACACCAAAAAAAATTTATTTGCACTATGTTGCACAAGGAGAGATGTATTCGTGTTGCTTCACATATTTGGTCTTTTTTAAGCTTCGTACATTTTTAAAGTTGCTTTAGTGAACATTAGTTATGGCAGTGGACCGAAGCGGGGGCGGGGGGGTATAATCTTCATCCCTAAGTCCGCTTGAAAAAACTCCGTCTATCTCTAGTCCACCTCCGTCAGCGGGTAAACTTGTAATCCCCGCCTCCGTCCCATCTTCGCCCTGTCCCCGCCTTCACCCCCCGCCCAAGCCCAAGTCCAAGTCCAAGCCCAACATAATCCAACATTGTAAATAATCCAAAAAATAAAAAAAAATGCATGTCACCAACTGAAAATTACCACATAATTTTTCTCATCAATAAGGATTATCATTTGGTATACTAAGTAGGCAAGAAGTTTATTAAGTACTTTTTAAGCAAAAAGTCTGTCCAACAATTTTTAAAGAGTAAAAACCATATTCAAGTAGAATAAACTCAAAAATCAGTAAAAATCATATCTACACTATTAGCAAAATTCAACAAAGACCATATTCAAATAGCATAAAATTACAAAATTCAGAATATTGCATATCTAACATAGAAAATCAAATGTAGCACATAAAAATTGCAGGTCTAACACAAAAAAAAAAAAATCAGAACAAGTAACATCTATAAACCTCTTATCTAACACTATAAATCCGAAACAAAAACTCTCAATAGCTAACACAACACAGATCCTTAAATCTAACAAAATTCATCACAAATCTAACAAAAAGGATTATAGATCTAACAAAAGTCATAAAAAAGAACACAAAGATAATAGATCTTATCTTATTGGACAAAGAAAAAAAAGTGGGCTACTGAATTTTGAAATTAACTTTATAGGTGGGTGGGAATGGGATTGAGGTTTATGATCTTATATATATATACATATCACAGGTTAGCGGGGGCGGGGATGGGGCGGGTGCAAGTGTTAGTCCATCCCCACTTCCATCCTCACTTCCATTTCCGTGCGGGTTTATATGGGTATTCTCATATATGTCTATCATCTAATACGTATGCTGCATCTCCGGTTCAAACGGGGCGAATTCGGACGAATATCTATTTTTTTTCCTGGTCCACTGCCATTCCTAATGAACATGCCTTAAATTGCTAATAGAATAGAAAACAACTCTGAAATCCATTCATTTTCCCAAGCAGAGTGACACTATTGACAGCCTTCAGAATGGCCTGTCTAGTATTGATGTGGGTTCTTTGGTTCCCTGATATGCTTATCCATTCATCTTTGCAATGCCTTGATGCTTAGTTCCCATTTTTAAATTGGGCAAAATTTTGAATAATCTTTTATATTATCTTTCTAATTCTCTCTGCCGTGGTTATGTGATAGACCTCCAATCTTTTTAAGTATTCATTTAGTCTGTTGGGTTTGTGTTGATCTGACTCGGTTTATGGTTTCAGGTATTCCCTACACCAGCAGATAGAGAGAGAGTTAAATCCTGTTTGTCTGAATTGGGCGAGATGAGCAACAATTTTAAGAAAGCCTTAAATGTTGGAGTGGAGCAACTTGTAGCAACTGTGATGCCCCGAATCCGTCCAGTATTAGATAGTGTGGCTACCATTAGCTACGAGTTGTCTGAAGCTGAATATGCTGACAATGAGGTGAATGATCCATGGGTCCAAAGGCTTCTCCATGTTGTTGAGATCAATGTAGCATGGCTCCAGTCGCTAATGACTTCTAACAATTATGACTCATTTGTTCATTTGGTCATTGACTTCATTCTAAAAAGGCTTGAAGTGATCATGATGCAAAAACGATTCAGTCAGCTTGGAGGTCTTCAACTTGATCGAGATGCTAGGGCTCTAGTAAGCCATTTCTCTAGTATGACACAAAAAACTGTTAGAGACAAATTTGTTCGTCTGACCCAGATGGCCACTATCCTAAACTTAGAAAAGGTATCTGAAATTCTTGATTTCTGGGGTGAGAACGCAGGACCCATGACCTGGAGACTGACTCCAGCCGAGGTGAGGAGAGTGTTGGGTATGAGAGTTGATTTTAAACCTGAAGCAATAGCTGCTCTTAAATTGTAGTCCCCGTCTATCTAGTTTACGATGTTTTTTTCTCATCAGATCCTTTTCCTTTGTATTACTAAGTTCCAATTTCATGCTATTGAAGATGTACCAATTATGACTTTATTTCTAAGAATTTATTCTTTTTTCATTTAGTAATATAGTTTCGATTTTGTTCCTTCAAAGTAAAAATAAGATTTAAACTTCAATTTTCAGTTCCCATCCTTGTGAAGTTAATAATATAAATCAACTAGTAACGTCTTTTTGCAATGCACGGAATTTATATCTCACTGTCTTTCGTTACCCCTATGGCGGTCTTTCGTTACCTTTTTTACTATCTTCTCTCTCCTATCCTACCATTTTTTTTTTGGTGAACCTCGACAGTACGAGGGAGTTTTATTGATTCAAAATAAAATTACACTTGGCTAGGAGGGGACGTATGTGCTTTATCCCTCGATGCAATCTAGTTACATGATGTAATAATAATAAAAAAGAAAGCAAAAATGCATGCTTAGTACAAGTAGTAATTAAATTAAAAAATTATCCTAAGCTTGCTGCCTTTGAATTAATAGTGTCCAGCTTATTTAGGTAACCAGAAACTTGGAGTAATCCATTTGCTATTTAAAAACCAGATAAGCTAATGATAACCCCGGAAGAGTCCAACAAAATGAAATAACCTGCTGGTAAAGCAAAAGAGACCATCTCAGTAAAGAGTCCAGCAGAGTCCAATGGAGGCAGAACTGAAGCAGATAAGAGTCCAGAAAAAGAAGAAATCCGAAGCATATCCACAGAAGTCCAGCTGACTTTGATGATAGAGTCTTTGCAAAGTAAAATGCTGGTGAGGAGAGTCCAACTGATTGAAAGAGACATGCAAGTGAAAGGCTCTTGCTGAGAGAGTCCAGCTTCACGTGAACAGTAAAATATATGAAAAAAATCCTGCTGAATAGTGTCATGAATAGTGCCTTGAACAGTGAAATAAGTCCAGCCGAAGAGTCCCTCGCAGAATGGATACTTTAAATCAATAAAACCAGCTAAAGGTGCAGCTGATTAATAATGAAGCATATCCACAAAAGCCAGCTGGAATAGAGTCCTTGTGTAAAAAAACCAGCACAGTCATGTGAACAGTGCACTTCAGACACAATTTGATGGGCTGTCCAGCTGAAATAGAGTCCTTGTAAACCGAAATGCACCTGAGAGCAATAGAATCCAGCTGCTCGCAAGTGAAAAAATCCAGCTGAAGAAACTGTCACATGAACAGTTACGTGAACAGTGCAATTTAGTCCAAAACAACTGTATTAAATGAGCAGTCTGCCGAAGAAATCCAGCAAAACCAGTCCAGTTATACCCGCTGAACAGCCCATTAAAAGTCCAGCTAACTGTCCATTGCCGGTACAGCTGAACGGTCCAGCTGTGATTCTGAATCCTTGCTGAACCAGCAGTTGAAGGCAACCTGCTGAACCAGCTGCCNGCCCATTAAAAGTCCAGCTAACTGTCCATTGCCGGTACAGCTGAACGATCCAGCTGATTCTGAATCCTTGCTGAACCAGCAGTTGAAGGCAACCTGCTGAACCAGCTGCCTTTGATCCTGAGAGCTGCAACATCCTGAGAAGACTCCAGCTGAAGCCGAAATGAACAAAAAACCATAATTAGCAAACAACATCCTTCACCCTCAAAGAACGCAGCTGTCTTTGATCGTGATGCGGCAGATTTCGTGCTTCAGCTGGAAGAGCATCAGCCGAAATTATCTCCCTATATGAGCCTTCTATTACTCCTTGATTTGCAAGATAATCAGCCACAGAATTTGCCTTGCAATAAATATGGTGGATTTCAAACTTCAGTCCATTAAGAAGATTCTGCAGCTGATAAAACAATTCCTTATGCTTCCAATTACAGTCACAGCTGCCCTTCACCATTTCAACAAGAATCTTAGAGTCAGACTCAATTAACAACTCATACTCAGACAATCCAAAGTGAAGATAAAGCTTTAAACCATCAATTAACGCCCTAATCTCAGCTTCCATATTAGAACATAACCTATAAAACTTGCAAGGCTGCCATAACAAGCTGCCCCCACTGATTTCGCACCAATGCACCTCCTCCAGACTGTCCTGGGTTTCCTTTTGCACAACCATCAACATTTAACTTCAAAAGACCAGCTGGTGGATATTTCCAAGACATATGTCCTTGCTTAAAGCAATTTGAACAATATTTTACTTCCTTCTCATAAACAATCTTCTGCCATCTTCCTTTGTAACCCCCCATTTCAAGCCAAACCCTTTGTGGATTATCCTCCATTACATCCATCTCTACACAAGCTCTAGCCACTACTGGTCTTGTAAGATTCATGGTTGGCCTGTCAAATCCCAACATCCTCCCCAATGGACTCAAGATGGCAGCTATACATTCAATTGTGAAGAGACACATGGGCAACGATGGCAAAGATACCCACATAGGCACCACCGATGGCTCTACTCTAGGAGTGAAATCAGGTATCCACTTAAAGAATCGAAACATGTGACCTTCAATATATGTAACATCCTTGAGCCACACCTTGACATAATCTTCAAAAAGCGAAAACCTCATAACAATATGCCTCGCATCCAAATGTTCAACGAAGAATTCCCCTTTGATGCCCCATTTGGTGTTGATAAATTCTCTGATAACCGCTAGAGATGGCCTTCCATAGGCACACTTTGCGATCAAAGATTGCTGAAATGGCTTCTCTAGATCATTCATCTCCTCTCTAGACCAGAAAACAATATGTTGCCCTTTGTCAAAAACAGCTTTTTTTGGTTAGAACTCATGAAAAAAGAAAAGTTCTAGAGAGAAGTCAGAGCTTCTCTCTCTAAAATAGAAGAAAATGAACCCTTCATNTTTTTGGTTAGAACTCATGAAAAAAGAAAATTTCTAGAGAGAAGTCAGAGCTTCTCTCTCTAAAATAGAAGAAAATGAACCCTTCATATCCTACCATTTAAATAGTAAAGTTCGATCAATAATTGTAAAAACTTGGGGTGATAGAAAGTAATTTTAAAAAAAAAATTAAATGAAGAGTAATCAGTTAGTTAAGGGGTAGTTATGTCAGATGATGAAATGGAAATCAACAATGAGAACTCCTTTCAAAAATTACCAACCCAATTAACCTTGAAGATTTATTTTAATTAATATGCAATTAATTCCCTCTTAATTAATCTCACGGCGATCCCAATTGCACAACTATGGATGATATGATATCAAACAATCAAAATATCAAACACATAGTGTGCGTGTGTGTTGTGTGTTAACAAATGCAAGTATAAACAATAAACAATAAAAGACACTATTATTTGTTTATATGAAAAACCCTACTCTAGAAGAATCACGGGGAACCACTCGGGGTTCACCAAAGCCTAATTCACTATGCGTCAAGTCAACATACAAGTACTCGAGTCTTATACCTCAACCAATAATCATGGCTAGAGGTTTCTTTCCTTGGTATGTCTCTCGACCGAAACTCCTTCTTCGATGTCTAATGTAACTTCACTTGGACCTCTTTGTTGCACGGTTCATCTAGGTCATGAGTGATTATGGGCACGCCAACAATCCTCCATATGCACACACTAATGGGTTTGTTCACCAACAAGCTCTCTTACTCCATGTTGTGAGGATAGAAATAGTCACTAGTGGTAGCCTTTTAATTCTTAGAGATCTAGGTTAAAAGATAGATTTCTTCTTCAAAAATCTCTCTAAAGGCTTTCTCAGGATTTGCCCTACATGTGAGAAAGGCATTCCCTATTTATAGGCCCAGAATAAGGATAGTCTTAATAAATAAGAAAACTTAGATTCGCGAACAACACTCAATTGGTGAGAGGGCGGTCATAGGGTGATTATCGCTGGAGTGAAAACTGCATTCCAATCCTGACTAATGCAAGCACCGCTTAAGTGATCATGGAGACCGCTTGAATGAGCTCATAGAGCGAGTCCTGTGCTGGCTTCTGTCGTCTTTCCTCCTTTTTCTCCTAAGTCATCAAGAGATCGCTCTAGCAAAGGTTAGCGAGCATAGGACAGTTCCTACAGGTTTTTTAAGCCTAAAACTATGCAAAAACTTGCTTTCTTGAGCACTAAAGGGTGTTGCTCAAAGAGGGGTCAGATAGTGACTCAAACTATATTTTCATAACAAAAAATTGGTTTCGATAAACTTTTCTTTGAAAATCCCTAAGAATCATAATTGAATCGCTTTTAATTCTAGTTTTTATCCTAATCATCCTAAGTTAAAAATAATTAAGGGGTCATCTTAGGTGTCTACTTGATGGTGTTCACCCTAATCTCTGACCATAATTCTAGTAATATGTATGTGGCTTATACGATTAGGTGAGTGTTATTCTCCTGTGGACATCTTGCAAGAAATGGAGAAAATGTGTGTGTGGATAAAAATTTGTGTGTGTGCAAAAGTGCTCTCCAAGCGAAGAGAGACTTTCGAGTGTTGTATTTTACTTGGAATTGGGTATTCCAAGGTCGTCTCCTCAGGGAAGGAAAGTTGAATCGTGTGAAGGTACTTTTGTAAAAATGGAAAAGTGTAAAATCTTGTGAATTTGTGTTTTGGTGAGTGAGGTTTTCGATTAAAATGTAATGGAAATAAGGTTGGCTAATCCGAAGAGGTCATTCCAATGGGACTGCCAAATCAACTCAAAACATTCTTCCAATGGTGCCTAGGTATTTGATTGATTCATAGGAAGTGAGGGACTAAAATGGAGGTGTAGGCTCAANTAGATAAACTTTTCTTTGAAAATCCCTAAGAATCATAATTGAATCGCTTTTAATTCTAGTTTTTATCCTAATCATCCAAAGTTAAAAATAATTAAGGGGTCATCTTAGGTGTCTACTTGATGGTGTTCACCCAATCTCTGACCATAATTCTAGTAATATGTATGTGGCTTATACGATTAGGTGAGTGTTACTCTCCTGTGGACATCTTGCAAGAAATGGAGAAAATGTGTGTGTGGATAAAAATTTGTGTGTGTGCAAAAGTGCTCTCCAAGCGAAGAGAGACTTTCGAGTGTTGTATTTTACTTGGAATTGGGTATTCCAAGGTCGTCTCCTCAGGGAAGGAAAGTTGAATCGTGTGAAGGTACTTTTGTAAAAATGGAAAAGTGTAAAATCTTGTGAATTTGTGTTTTGGTGAGTGAGGTTTTCGATTAAAATGTAATGGAAATAAGGTTGGCTAATCCGAAGAGGTCATTCCAATGGGACTGCCAAATCAACTCAAAACATTCTTCCAATGGTGCCTAGGTATTTGATTGATTCATAGGAAGTGAGGGACTAAAATGGAGGTGTAGGCTCAAGCATATCCCGTGACAAGTCTACAGTATGTCAAGGGCTCATAACCACGTCCGCACTCAACCTAGTCAAACTGAACACTTTACACTACGAGGGAGAATGGAGGAGAGTTGATTTAGCATACCTAAGAAGAAATCTCTCTTGGATTAGCCAATATAAAACTTAGCTACTCATATTAAATGCAAAGATGCACAATGTAGAAAGAGACATGGTAATGACATGGAGATTAAAGTTTGTATTAATGTAAAGAAAGGTTAAGTATAAAGATAAGTGCATTGAAAACCCATTTAGAAAGCTTGAGAAGAAAAGTTTAAATGTAACAATGGTAGATTCAAAGATACATGACTAAAATACAATACACTTGAAATAAATGACAGTAAAGTGCATTAAATGAAGATTACAAGAGGCTTACAGCAAAGTACAAGTGAAATGGGTAAGAAAATGCAAAAATACAAACTTTCTCTCTCTAAAACTATGTTTCTTCCTTGAGCTTCTCTCTCTATATGCTGAATAATGCTCGACAATGGTGTAACTTTTTCATTTTCGTCCATGAGGCCCTATAGCATGTGTGTAGGCCTCCCATCAATGGGGGTTGAGTTGATGGCTTGGATAGGCTAGGCCAAGCCTAGCCTGCAAACCCCCGGGCTTCCTCCTTCTCTCTCTTCCTTATTAATGCCTTGGCCTCCAAAGTCTAACCTTAGGTGTAGGGAGGCATGATGTATGTAAAATATGTCAGGGGACAAGTGGGAGAATCATAGGTGGGACCCTCAAGTGGCAAAGCTTGAGTTTCAGGTGTCTGACAACTTTTAGCAAAACCTTCTAGAAGGTTTGTGGTAGGTTCTACTTCAGTTGGCAAAACCTTCCGAAATGTTTGAGATAGTTCTAACTCTAGTATGCAAAACCTTCTGGATGGTTGAAGCAAACCTTCCGGAATGTTTTGGCAGGGTAGAGTCTTAAAGTCTTTCCAGTGTGCAAACCTTCCAGAAGGTTTTCACCTGAATTGTCTTTTTCTTGATCTCTTTACCTTCCAAGCCTCTCGTTAAGCCACCCCCAATCTCTATTGACTTTGAGTAGTACGATGGGGGCTTAACTCAAGCCATAACCAACATTTTACCTACAATCACACAACAATTGCATTAATTGTTTGATTAATTACATTTCTTCCCATTTCCACCACAAAAGCAAGTATAAAAGGGTATAAAAGCATACATAATTCTTCTACTCATATCTCTCAAGTACTTCTTCCAAGTTCTCCAAACAAACCTCAAATGAATCCCCATATACAGAAAAATCATCCATGAAAG